GTAGCAGACCCTACTCAGCTAGTTTGTTGGCCGTCTTTGCTTAATACTTAGGACCGCCTCACGCCTGTCAGCTGGAGGAACTGCTGGCGGACAGTCAACTGCCATCCTGATAAATATGAAACGTGCCAATATCTATCCCGCAACGCTTCTTCTCTCTGAAACTGCACTGGCTTTGGCGAGCGACCAACTCTTGGACGCGTCTGACCTCAGCAGTCTCCGCCGCGCTGATGACGAGGTGAGCCCGCGGACCTTCGGACCGCTGGCGGTGCCCGGCGGTCTGATAGCGATCGGTGCCGCGGCCCTCATCAGCTCACTGGTCCTAGCAGTGAACAGCCCGGAACCGCCCAAGCCGGAGATCACCATTGTGGCCGCTGCTACCGGAGGCCCACCAGCAGCTCCAGTGCAAGTCATCACGACAACCACAGCCGCCACGACAACCACAGCCACCACAACCGCGGCGACAACCACACCCGCCGCGACAGCCACAACCACCACAACCGCGGCGCCTCCAAATGCAGGTGTTGAAGACTCGGAGGGGGCAGATGCATCTCAAAGTGAACACGGTGGAGATGAGACTAAAGTTCCAGGAGGCAGAGACTGTGATCCTGCAAACGACATCGGCAATTGCGATACTGGTCTCTTTTGTAATCCAAATAAGAAATGCGAAAAACAACGTGAAAATGGTATGTTTTGCGACATGAACATCCAATGCAAATCTGGGAAATGTTTATCGTTTTTGTGCACGTTAGGCTCCGGAGGGAGGCGAAATTGAGGGACCATCCCACGTGGAAAAGCTTTTGAATCGGCTGAAAAGCGTGTCTCTTCATTTTAGGCCATCAGTTATGGATATTTACTGGCTTTACCGAAATATATCCCGCAACCGCTGGGGGGGGGGGGGGTCGGATCCGATCCTCACCCCTCCGTTTTTTTCACGAATAACTCACGAACCGCTTACGCTATCAACTTGAAACATCGTATAACTTCCCCTTCATCAATTCACGGCTTTTGTCAATTTTTCATACAAATTTTTCAAAACCTTTTGAGATATATCGATTTTATTGATGTAACTACATGGCTTTTTTCGTCAAAAAATGGTAAATGCTTGAGAAATCGCCAAATATCAAGGATTTAAGCAAATTGCAAATTAAAGACATAAATAGACGCAATCCAATGACTTCTTTTAAATGGCTATCTCGCTTTTCCTCATGAAGTGCGTTTTTGACCCCTAAAAATTTAAAAAACTATGTTTTTTAGAAAGCAACTAATTAAATCAAAACTTTTCAAAATTTTCAAAACCGGAAAATATGTTAAAGAGCTCTATTAGAACATTAGATGTCCCAAATTTCAACTTTCTATCTTGATTTTTGACCCCCAAATTGTAAAAAATAGCTCCAACATGTATAGGGCATGGTGACGTCATACACATTTTCGTGAGTTTGAGGCACTTCTGAACTTTGCATTTGAAAACAAATGGCAACTTTTGATTCCTGGGACAGAGTTCGTCTAGAAAAGTGTATTTTGATGTCAAAAATAAAAATTGAAAAATTGGCTTTTTTCTTGGTGATGCAGGGTTACTTTTAACCCTCGCCCGCACATGCCATTTTCCCATCCTAGAACGCACATGGGGGGGGGGTGGTTGCCACCCCCCCCGCGCCATTTCGTTCCTGTTGGAGATAGAGCTTAGCGGTAAAGACCAAAAAGATTCTTTGGGAAGAGACGAATCCAATGATACCCAGTTTTACCTTCTCAGGTCAGCCATTGACCTTCCAGGTCAGGTCAAACTAAAAAATGTTGCTGTTTTAGGTCACCGTTGGATATCAAGCGCGCTGCTTGTCATATACCGATGACGATGCCGTTTTCTGGTGCCAAGCCAGCTAGAACCTCTTTGTCACACTACCCGACCAGGTTTTTGCTGCTGAGGTCATCTCAGGTCAAGTTAGGTCAAGGTCAATAATATGTGTTTGTATGTCTGTGTGTGTCTGTGTGTATACTGATGTGTGCACCGATTGTTTATGTGTCCATATTACATGAAATCATGATCTGAGAAGCTTTTACCAAAAATGTAGTCAAAAAATTTCAAAAAAGTAAATTCAGCTTGCCTAAAACGCAATTATCTTAGATGACCTAGGTTGACCTTGACCCTGACCTTGACCTCTGTACATCGTCGAACAACATGTTTCATGATAGGTGGGAGGTAGGATTGGCATAAAAGGCCGAAATCAAGGTGTTAAAAGCTCACAAGGCCCATAGCCAACGCAAGATGTTGAGAATTGGCCATTTGGGTCATGACATGACCTGAGAAACAAGGTCATATCTCCGAAACCAAAAATCACAGAAACTTGAAATTTTCAGTGGACATCAAGAAAGGATAGAGGAGCAGCTATACGAAAAATCAGCCTTCTAGCTTTAAAAATGTTGAGTGCAGAGCAGAAAGTCTACCTGGGGGGGGTGGCAACCACCCCCCCCCATGTGCGGGCGAGGGTTAAGGGGGGAAGAGGGAATTTCCCCCTTCGAAAATTCCACTCCCCTTTCAAATTGTGTCATAATGGCTAGGGAGGGAAGGGGGAATTTCCCCCTTTCAGAATTATTTTTTGGCCCATTTTCAATTAATTCGCTATTCAGATTCTCTAGTCATCGTTATTAAGATTCTATGTCATCAATTAACGTTGCTGGCGCTAAGATATTACCAAGGATTGTGGGCAGTGGCACCGCCCGGGCGGAACTTAAAATATCCGGAACTCCAGATTTGACCCGATACCGATCGGATGGTCGATGGGACCGTCTCTTGTCTTGTCTTTTCGCACTCACTCAGGGGCGGATCCAGCAAAACTCCAAGGGGAGGGTCATGATTCGAAGTGGATTCAGCTCAACGGATTTCGGCCACCTAACCTTCCAGGCGGGGGGGGGGGGGCATTTCCCCCCTTTAGTTTTTTCAATATATCTCCAGAACCGCTGCGCCGATCGTCACCAAACTTTCAGTACCCTCCCGTGAATAGCTATTGCAAAAAAATTCCAAAGGCTATGATAGGTTGGCCGCTAATGACGTCAGAGTGACGTCATTTTTGCCATTTTCGACCCAAAAATAGGTTTCGCGGAAAGAGCTGTCAAGCCTACAGCTTTAGAGATACATAAAATATTTCAAACATGAGAGGTGTAGAATCAGAAGGGCTACAAACTGCTATCGCGGATTTTTGAAATTTTTGGATTTTGACCCCCAAAAATTAAAAAATATATTTTTTGAATATAATAGCCGAAAAACCCAAAACGTTTTTGAATTTCGAAAAAACGGAATATACGTGATAGTCCCTATCGCGTTCTATCCACATACCAAATTTGAGATCGATACCTCTTTTTTGGCCAAGTTATCCCTCGCCCGCACATGGGGGGGGTGGTTGCCACCCCCCCCAGGTAGTCTTTCTGCTCTGCACTCAACATTTTTAAAGCTAGACGGCTGATTTTTCGTATAGCTGCTCCTCTATCCTTTCTTGATGTCCACTGAAAATTTCAAGTTTCTGTAATTTTTGGTTTCGGAGATATGACCTTGTTTTTCAGGTCATGTCATGACCCAAATGGCCAATTCTCAACATCTTGCGTTGGCTATGGGCCTTGTGAGCTTTTAACACCTTGATTTCGGCCTTTTATGCCAATCCTACCTCCCACCTATCATGAAACATGTTGTTCGACGATGTACAGAGGTCAAGGTCAGGGTCAAGGTCAACCTAGGTCATCTAAGATAATTGCGTTTTAGGCAAGCTGAATTTACTTTTTTTGAAATTTTTTGACTACATTTTTGGTAAAAGCTTCTCAGATCATGATTTTATGTAATATGGACACATAAACAATCGGTGCACACATCAGTGTACACACAGACACACACAGACATACAAACACATATTATTGACCTTGACCTAACTTGACCTGAGATGACCTCAGCAGCCAAAACCTGGTCGGGTAGTGTGACAAAGAGGTTCTAGCTGGCTTGGCACCAGAAAACGGCATCGTCATCGGTATATGACAAGCAGCGCGCTTGATATCCAACGGTGACCTAAAACAGCAACATTTTTTAGTTTGACCTGACCTGGAAGGTCAATGACTGACCTGAGAAGGTAACACTGGGTATCATTGGATTCGTCTCTTCCCAAAGAATCTTTTTGGTCTTTACCGCTAAGCTCTATCTCCAACAGGAACGAAATGGCGCGGGGGGGGGTGGCAACCCCCCCCCCCATGTGCGTTCTAGGATGGGAAAATGGCATGTGCGGGCGAGGGTTATAGCGAAAAAAATGTTCAAAATTGATGACGTCAAATTTTCACACTCAATTTTTTTTTAGCAATTCTAGAACTTGTAGCGCTAAACAAAGACCACTATTAGACTCCCCGTGACGAGCTGCATCGAATCAATACCCATTTTATGCAAAACTAACAACTTTGAAATTTGACCTTTTTTACCTGACCTTGACCTGACCTACACCAGAAAGGGGCCCCGTTGCTGCGGGGCCCCTGCCCTGCAGCAACGCCAGCAGCCTCCACCAGGACGCCAGCAGCCTTCACCCCAGCAGCAGCGCCAGCAGCAGCAGCCACGCCAGGCTGCGGGTTCCAGCCGGTGTTGGGGGTGTGGGCGTGTGGGACACCGCAGAGGTGACCAGTCGTGCCCCGCCTACAACAGGACTTGTTCCAAGTGTGGGAAGCTACACCACTTTGCCCTGCACTGTGGTGCCACTCGTGTAGTGTCCAGTGTACAAGTGCTCGCTGTCAGTGCCTCACCTTTGACAGTTGATGCTCAGGTGGAGGGACAGGAGGTGACCTTCACCGTCGACTCAGGGTCGCCTGTGTCGATCCTTCCCAGGAGTGTGGTGGGAGGGGACCTGACAGCAACTGATCAGCGCCTGTGTGCCTATGGGGGGAGTGTATTGGATGTTTTAGGGGTTAAAAGTGTACGTGTATCATGTAAGGGGAAAACTGCCAGTGTCACTGTGTATGTCGTGCCTCATGGCCGTGCATTGATGGGCCTGGACATGATGGAGGCGTTCGATGTGTGTATCGTGGGTAACCGTGTGTGTGCTGTTTCCACAGCCTCTTCCTCCCACGCTACTCCGGAACCTGCTGAGCCTCCCAGCCACCCTGCTGAGCCTGCCGACCCACCTGCCTCACCGTCCGGGATCCAGCCTGCCATCCTCGGCTACCAACACCGTGTCACCGTCAGTCCTGAGGTGGCACCTGTGCGGCAGCCTCTTCGCCGGCTGCCCCTGGCAGTGGTTGATGAGGTGAGTGCTAGACTGAAGGAGCTCGAGAGCCAGGGGGTGATCGAGAAGGTGAGTGCGTCCCCCTGGGTCTCACCCCTGGTGGTCGGAAGGAAGCTAGATGGGTCCATCCGCCTATGTGTTGATATGAGACGGGTAAACAAGGCGGTCATCACTGATGGGTACCCTCTCCCCAGGATCGAGGATGTACTTGACCGTCTGAGTGGCTCTCAGGTGTTCTCCAGGCTAGACCTGAAGGACGCTTATCACCAGCTGGAGCTCCACCCGGACAGCCGTGACCTGACAACGTTCGTCAGTCACCTGGGGTTGTTCCGCTTTACCCGGGTGAACTTCGGGCTCGCCAGCGCTGGACCTTGTTTCCAGAAGGTGATGGCCTCCATGCTGGAGGGGATCCCGGGAGTCGAGGTGTACTTGGATGACATCCTGGTCCACGCTCGCTCTCAGGCCGGGCACGACGCTCGGCTGAAGGCTGTGCTCCAGTGTTTTGATGCCCACAGGGTTCGTGTGAACTGGAGCAAGAGCGTCACCAACCAGAGAGAGATCGGTTTTCTCGGGTACCAGATCTCCGGTGACGGTGTCCGTATCGACCCGGAGCGGCTCCGGCCTCTGCTGGACGCGCCCGAGCCCCGGGACGAGAAGAGCCTCCGCGCCTTCCTCGGAGCCGTGGGCTATCATGCCCGGTTCCTTCCGAGGTTCTCTGATGAGGTCGAACCTCTGCGCGCTGCGCTCAGGGCAGACGCCTTTGAGTGGACGGCCGCGCTGTCGAGCGCGGTCCGCCGCGTCAAGGACGCGATCAGGCAGGCACCCGCGCTGGGGATGTTTGACGTTTCTCTCCCCACCGTGCTCTCCACCGACGCTAGTGACGTCGGCTGCGGTGCCTGCATCACGCAGGTTGACGCCTCGGGGGTGCCGAGGGTCATCACCTACGCCTCCAAGACCTTCACAGCAGCCGAGCGGAACTACTCTGTGGTAGAGAAGGAAGCTCTGGCCTGCGTGTGGGCGACCGAGAAGTTTCGGCACTACCTGTGGGGGCGCCGGTTCACACTGCGCACCGATCACCAGGCGCTCTGCACAATCTTCGGGCCGAAGGGCTCCAACCGCGTCGGCCGGCGAGTCGCGCGGTGGGAGGCCCGCCTGCTGGAGTTCGCCTTTGATGTGGAGTATGTGCGGTCCGAGCACAACGGGGTGGCGGACGGCCTGTCCCGCCTCCCAGTAACGGACACCTGGTGGCCGGACGACGATACCATTCAGATCGCCTCGCTCGGAGTGGCGGCGGCGGCCGTCACAGAGGCAGAGTTCCGTGCTGCCTCGGACGCGGACGAGACCCTGCGAGCCGTCCGCGGGTTCGTGGCTGGGCAGTGGCCCCGCCGGAAGGAGATCGACCCGGCGGTGGCTGGTTTCTACCAGGTGCGGGAGGAGCTGTCCCAGCACGGCCAGCTGCTATTCCGCGGCGAGCGTCTCGTCGTGCCGGAGACGCTCCGTGAGCGCGTCCTCAGGAACGCCCATGAGGGCCACCAAGGGGTGGTCCGCACCAAACAGCGCCTGCGCGCGCAGTTTTGGTGGCCTCGGCTGGACCGAGAGGTGCGAGAGCAGCTGAGGGGCTGTCAGGTGTGCTCCCAGCATGACGAGCATGTTCGCAGGGAGAAGCCACCTCTGCAGCCCATTCCCCTGCCAGAGGGCCCGTGGGAGAGGCTGATGGTGGACATCATCGGGCCGATGCACGGTCCGCCGACCGAGAGGTACGGCATCGTGCTCTGCGACCTCTAAAGCCGGTGGCCAGAGGTCGCGCTCTGCTCTGACGCGACGGCGAGCACGATCATCCAGTTCTTGGAGGCGCTATTCGCTCGCGAGGGGCTCCCGCTCGAGCTCATTTCTGACAACGGCCCAGCGTTCAGATCGGCAGAGCTCCGAGCATTTCTGACGAAATGTGGTGTGCGGCAGACGTTCAGCTCGCCGTACTCGCCGCAGACGTGCGGGCTGGTCGAGCGGTTGAACCGCACGATAAAAGGGGCCATTCAGTCGGCTCGGCTGGCGCGGGAGCCGCGCTCACCCTACCTGCGTCGGTTCCTGGGTGAGTACCGCGCCACTCCGCACCCCGCCACCGGGGAGACGCCGTTCCGCTTGATGAGGGGGCGGGAGGCGCGCACGACCCTGGACGTGCTGAAGCGGGACGCGCCCACCGGAAACAGCCGGAAACGCGCGGTACGCCGGCGGCACCGCCGCTATCAGTCGGCGTACAAGAGGAGGTACGATCGCACCGCGACCGCCGCCCCCAGGTGGGAGGCAGGAGACTGGGTACGGGTTCGTAAGCCAGTCAGCGGTCGGGTCGAAGGCCAGCCGGCGGTCCAGATCCGGGAGAGGACCGGCCCTGTGAGCTACAGGGTAAGCACGGGGGACAGAGTGCACGCCAGGCGTCTCGTGCCTGGGCGTGCCACAGAGGAGCCGGTAGTGGAGGAGCTACCGGCCAGCCTTATTCCGGATTCCTCGGTCCCATCTGGGAGCGCTGAGGGCGCTGTCAGTCCGCCCAGAGTCCACCCTGTGTCACACGCCGCCGGAGAGCTATCCGTGCCTCGGGCGGATCCTCAGACCTCTCCTGTTTCTCCGCGCCGTGGCAGTCGCCGGCGCCGGGCTCCTGACCGGTTCACGCCGGACCGGTACCAGTAGGTAGGTCGAGGGGGCTGCCCCGAGTAGAGTGTGTTCCCTCAAAGGGAGGGGTGGTGTTGGAGTTTGTTTGTGCGCCGAATATGTCTCAGGCGCGCCGAAGTTGTATTTATTTATTACTCTGTTTAGTGCTGGATTTCTGTGACTGTATTACGTATATTTAGTTTCTTGTTGAAGAAGCGATCCTATATCTGTAATGTCGGATTGAGTTCTTTGGGTCTCCGTAGATTTAACGTCGAGCCCTGATAAGAGACTAAGGTGTAGTAGTTGTAGTTTACGCGGTCAGTGATGGCGAGTGAGGAGGACCCCCATCACTACAGTTTCATTCTCTTCCGGAAACGTGGTATTGAAAATGTAAACAATCGGTTATGTTGTGCTTTCCCTTGGCTTCTTCGCAATAAACCCGCACTCTGGGGTCTCCCGGGCGTGTGACGAGGTGGACAGAAGCGGGACACAACAGTCATATGAGGTCAGGTCATTTTCGTGACCTCACCATTATAAGTCAATGGGGAAAATGAAAACTACTGTTTTGGCGCCGGGAATTATCTTCAACTATCTCAAGCAGACAGAATCGTGATTTGATGCACTCCTTGCAAGGTTAGATGCGTCATTTTTGCAATGCTGACCTTGCATGACGTCATTTATGACGTCATCAAGGTCATATTAGTTTTTCGTCAATAACTCCCGATCAAATTGAGCTAGCGAGTCGGGACTGCCACCAATGGACTCAGGAAGACCTGCCGAATCGAATGGTATGCAACATGACCTCTTCCGATCAACTTCGTGACCTGGGGCGCTGACCTGAGCGTGACCTGAGGTCAACACCCTAAGTTGACCTGATCCAAACAAAAAGTAGATCATTCGACGCACCTGAGCGAGGCGAACACGATACTGCCAAAATCGCGGCTCTGCGGCCGTTTTTTGCGAAGTTATTCACCAAAAACTGAGCCGTACCTTGGGGCACTTGACCTGACCTCAGAGGTCACCGGTTGACCTAGGACATTAAAATCGGGTACCAAACTCTCCGTCTCGTAACGGCGCACACGCTCGTTTTTCCGCGACGCGCTAGCTCCACTAGGGGCGAAACGGCGAGGGGGATCGTACCCGCCCCCCCCCCCCCCGGCCGGCGCGTATGTAGAAAACCAATAGGTCCGGCGAGGGTTAAGAGTGGTTTGGAAAGGTTTCGAACACCGCCTCGCGGGGCTCGATACGACCATTGGTTCTCGAGATAACAGGGGGGGGGTCGGATCCGACCCCCCCCCCCCCCTCCCAGCTGTCGTGGGTACGGAAATAGCCCAGGTGGTGCCGGGATATCCTCCAAATCTAAAGAGTTGGACAAACTGTTGAGCGAAACTTTTTTTACCTCGAAGTCACCAATGACATCATGACGTCATAACGGTCATGTCAAAGTACAAATTATCAACACTTTGGCTAGTTCACAACTTGGGCTATGGCCGCCGGCTAACAAGTCGGATCAGGCTCATTTTGGTTTACATACTCGTTGAAATATGATTAACCCGAGCACCGACAAGGGTACACGGCACGGTCCAACTTAGAACCGACGGGGGGGGAGGCGGGCAGCGGATATCCGCCCCCTGAGATCTCGAGAACGAAGCAGGATAGCTACAAGTGGTAAACGGCTGGGGTACACACGGAAAAGGTCTACAGGATGGTCGACATGACCATCAGCCACCTGCAGACAGTGCTAGTGCTGGAGCTGATCCGCCGGAAGGGCGCTCAATTGAGCATCTGCTTTGAGGACCTGCCGCGACTGACCAGAGGGTTAACATGCCATGTGGCACCTGCCGTCTGTTTTGCCATGTTTTACTGAATACAAGCACGTGCCATTTTCAAACGTCCAGTGTTTATTTTCGGAATTATAGCAAAACACAATAGTATCCGTTTCTCCTGGACTCCCTGTATATATATATATATATATATATATATATATATATATATATATATATATATATATATTTGTTAACTTTGGCAATAAATCTTCTTTTAGACAAAGACCATTAACCCTCGCCCAAACATGCCATTTTCCCATCCTAGAACGCACATGATGGGGGGGGGGGGGTTGCCACCCCCGCGCCTTTTCGTTCCTGTTGGAGATAGAGCTTCGCGGTAAAGACCAAAAAGATTCTTTGGGAAGAGACGAATCCAATCATACCCAGTTTTACCTTATCAGGTCAGTCATTGACCTTCCAGGTCAGGTCAAACTAAAAAATGTTGCTGTTTTGGGTCACCGTTGGATATCAAGTGTGCTGCTCACCAGTCACCATACACCGATGACGATGCCGTTTTGTGGTTCCAAGCAAGCTAGAACCTCTTTGTCACACTATCCGACTAGGTTTTTGCTGCTGAGGTCATTTCAGGTCAAGTTAGGTCGAGGTCAATGATATGTGTTTGTATGTCTGTGTGTTTACTGATGTGCACCGATTTATCCGTACAGGCGGGCCACGACGGCGGCCACGACGGCGTCCACGTCGACAGCTGCTCCACCCCCATCATCGTCAGCCGTGCGCGCGGACGCAGCCCTCGAGCGAGTGGTAGGTGGCTGTGCCATAGCCGAGGTCCCGCCGGTAGTCCCCGTGGCCGCCGACGCCGACGCCGCCGCTGCCGGCGGAGCAGTTTCTGGCGGCGGGGGGGGGGGGGGCGCTGCTGGGGCTCCTTGAGGGGGCGGCTCCTCAGAGTGGTGGGGGGTCGGCTCCGTCTGCGCGGGCCGACCGGGGTGCGGCGTGGGCGGCGTCGCCGTTTACCGGCGACGGGCGGCGCCGCGTGTCGAGTGAGGCCAGAGTGCGGCCGCCGGTGTCGGTGCAAGTGAGGCCAGACTATTACGTGCGCCATCATCGGGTACACAGTGTTCTGGCTCGAGGCCTCAAGTTGCGAGACCAGGTTTTTTCTAGTTAGGACTTTTCCTGGTAAATACATCCCACAACAAACATCACACATTGCAACACCTCACACCATCAGCAGCAAGATTTACAGCAGCAAGTATGAATATTCTACCCCCTTTCTGGACACCCTTGCCTTGTTAATCGGACGCCACATGAGCCGAATTAAAGTAAAGTTTGCTTCTCTCTCTTGCTTGGGTCAGAATTAAATAGCTGACAGTAAAGTAAAGTAAAACGAAAGATAATTCAGACAAAAAGATCTGGCTCATTGCCAGCCTAAGTAATTTCCCCTTCCCTGGCGGTTGCCTTAGGCATGCCGGGAAGACTAAATTTAAAAAAAAATGCCTTCTGTGGTGCCGCCGATCTGGCGGGCGACTCCTCGGTCTGTGTGTGCACCGATTGTTTATGTGTCCACTGTCCATATTACATAAGACCATGAAATGAGAAGCTTTTACCAGAAATACAGTCAAAGAAACTTCACGAAAAGTAAATTCAGCTTGCCTAAAACGAAATGTTATTAGATGACCTAGGTTGATCTTGACCCTGACCTTGACCCTGACCCAATCAGCACACCACCTAGCGCTGATATTCCACCGATACCAATCACCATCTCCGCACCGAGCGGCTTCTCTCTCATCACCAGCACGTCGACCACCACGGCCTGACCCGAAGCCGTTTCCACAGCTACCTTTCCAACTCCGTCACAGTAGAAAGGATCCCCGCTCATCGATGTTACCCGGACTCGCTCCTTCCGCCAGTCGCTGCAATACGGTGCAACACCAGGTTCTCCGAGCCGCTGTCCACTATCGCCCTGCATTCCCTGCCTGCCACTCGCAGCTGCGCCATCGGCAGAACCTCCGCTACTGCCGCCCTGGAGAGGACGCCGGCGCTGATGCCTGATGCGGCCTCTCCCGCGCTGTTTCCCGGCTGCTAACGCTGAGGGCAGCCAACGGAGATGTGGCCGATCGCTCGGCAGATCCAGCATCGGCGTGGTCCACGCACCGCCGTTGACGGCTGCACGTCAGCCGACCGATCTTCACGCCGCCCCGGCCCAGGCGCCACCGGCCGCCGGTTCCTTTCCTCTGCTGCCCTACTCCACCCCCTGTCCGAGGAGCTCGCGCCGCCGCTGCCACCGGACCAGCCGCCGCCGCCGCCACCGGAGCTGCTGCCACCGGAGGGCTGTTCGGGTGTTTCTTATAGGTATCTTGGTTCGGGTCCCTGCAACATAGATCTGTGCTGCGTGCGTCACACTTGGGTGACGTCAGGTCAGCCGCCTGGCTCCGCGCACTCTCCGCCGGCACGCCGCGGCCTATTCCACCCGCGGCGAACCGTTGCGCGGGTGGACTGGTGATTGTCGCTCAAATAACGGTTAAATTGCGTTCAAATGTGGTTAATAGCAATGTGCCACTGAAAAAAGTGATAATGATACAAAAAAAAACAGCATGCAAACCGATAGAAATATTGGACGGTAAACTTTAATCCGCGCCACTTTCGTCTCCTGCAGCACCGAATTTCTGGCTGCAGGAAAACGAAGCACGCTTCAGTAGGTGGCGTCACACAGGCGATGACGCAGTGGTGTGGGCGGGACTAACGGGCGACGTAGCCATCGTAGGTGGCCGCCTGCCCACACGTCACATTCTTTCTGGACATCGGAGCGCTGCGGCGTGACGCCCCATCTGACGAACTGCATCAGGCGGCACAGAGACACCTAGCGTCCCTCCCCCAGCAAGCCATCTGGGTTTGTACTGATGGGTCGGCGGATGCGGGAGTCCGCAGCGGAGGAGCAGGAGCCTCTGTGCAGAGTGGCCGGACGGTGCGACCGACGAGCTACGCGTCCCGGCCGGTCAACTCTGCTCGAGCTTCAGGGCGGAGATGGTCGCACTCCGCGCGGCCCTGAATCACCTGCGCGACCACCCGCACCAGCCGAGCGCGCCAATTAGGTACCATCTGCTCGGATTCGCAGTCGGCCTTCGCGACGCTGAGAGAGGGCCCGGCGTCCCAGAAGACCCTGCTAGGAGCCGCCATCTGGACCGAACTAGGGGCCCTGGCCGGTCCGTCCCGCCGGATCCACCTGCAGTGGGTGCCGTCCCATTGCGGCGTCGACGGAAACGAGCGCGCCGACCAGATCGCCAAGGAGGCGGCCGCGCTCCCCCAGGCGGCGGTCCCGGTGGACGTCGCTACCGCCCACCGTGCGGCCATCAGACTGGCCCGCGACCGCACCATCGCCGCCTGGCCGGAGGGCTGGTACCGGACCCTGATGGGGAACTGGCTGCCGCCACCGGCCGCGGCGGGGGACAGATCGTCAGCCGTCGACGTCCACCAGCTCCGCGCGGGCCACTGGTCAGGCTCCCGCCAATACCTCCACCGGATTGGACGGAACTCTTCCGACGATTGCCGCCAGTGCCGGGAGTGCCCTGACATCGACTGTGCGGCGGGCCGGTGCACCGTGTGCCGGGAGGAGGCCGACACCCCCCGGCACCTCTTCTTCCGGTGCCCGGCCCTCATGGGCTGGCGTCTCCAGAGGTACGGGACGATTTTCCCGAGCCCGGAAGACGTCCGCGACGACGGAGAGGTGGCGGCCCAGGAGGCCGCCGTGAGGGACCTCCAGAGCCGCACGGCTACACCTCGGTAACGCGGCTGGAGGGAACACACAACAACAACAACGTAGCCCTCACTACGCATGCGTACTGCAGCATATTTCATTTTGGCTGCGCAGCCGAACAGCGCTCAGAGCCGCCGCCGGCGCGGCCGTTGGTCGCTCAGCACTGAGCGGGCCCGAGCGAGTACACCCTCCAGGCTGAGGCCCTCAGCCCTGGATCCAGCGCGGATAGCTTGTCTGGTGCTGTCGGGTAGCCCAGAGACAAATGCGCAGATGAGCGCCTTGTCTGGCACCCCCCGAAAAGCACCGCTACCCGCCGTAGATCAAAGAGGAACGCATCCGGTGATTCGCCAGTCCGCAGGCGTCGGCAGCAGAAGGCGTCATACGCGAGAGAGAGAGAGAGAGAGAGAGAGAGAGAGAGAGAGAGAGAGAGAGAGAGAGAGAGAGAGAGAGAGAGAGAGAGACAGAAGACAGAAGACAGAAGACAGAAGACAGAAGACAGAAGACAGAAGAGAGAGAGAGAGAGAGAGAGAGAGAGAGAGAGAGAGAGAGAGAGAGAGATAGATAGAGAGAGAGAGAGAGAGAGAGAGAGAGAGAGAGAGAGAGAGAGAGAGAGAGAGAGAGAGAGAGAGAGAGAGAGAGAGAGAGAGAGAGAGAGAGAGAGAGAGAGAGAGAGAGAGAGAGAGAGAGAAACAGTTAAGTGCTGATAACACGCGCAGTGGAAGGGGGGCGGATTTCGCCCACCCCTCCTGTTTTTGCCAATAATTCGCGCCGCAAACGTAATGTTATCGCGAAATTTTGCTACCTGACCAGAATTGAATTGCGGATCTCCTCGTGCAAGAAATAAGAAAATCGGTTCACAACTTTTCTAGTAATAGGCATATCGGTGTAAAGTCAAACATCCTGCCGCCGCGGCGTTGCGGCGGCCGGCGCTAGCCGTTACGCGCCGCCTGAATTGTAGACTGTGCCGGGGCGAGACGGTTCCGTCTTTACATCGCGCTCCTTACCGCTGATTATATTCGATTCGCGTCAAATTTTGTGAGAGACTAAAGAAACGTACAGACAATCTTATGGTCAAAGAATTTTGAAAATCGGCCGGTAAAAACTTGAGTTATCTCAGTTATGAGCGTTTAAACACAAAATTGTGATTTCCGCGTTTCCCGCGTCGGCCGATCCCGCTTACGCCGGCGACTTCTTACTCTTAGCAGGCTTCTATTTTCTAACTGCCATATTTATTGTTGTATTAGCTAGAAATTATCCATACATACTCACAAATGTACCTATGTTCTTTCGTATAATGAAAGAAAAAATAAAATCGGCCGGTAACTTTTTGAGTTATTGGCGTGTAAACGCAAAAAAGATTTGACCACATTTGACCTCATTTGACCTTGAAGATATTAACCTAGGGTCATGAAATTCACACACAATAGAGTTCCACAGGACCCCCACCTACCATATAAATTTCGTCTTTCTTTCTAGCTCCAGTGGAAGCTGAGATCTTAGAGGGGGGGGACATCCGCCCCCCTTCCACAGGGCGTAGTACTCGCAACCCTTCCACTGCGCGTCTTAAGATACCCTGCGGGTATACTGAACTTGTACTTCGAATTTGTCAGGCCAAGGCCAGGTCATCTTAGGTCACGAAAATTTGTATGTTATGCGTCGGTCACGTGACCATGTTTTATGGTCCATTTCAGCCGTACATTTCGGAAACAAAGTTGTCTGTGTTACTATACCGAGGTCATCGATACCTATCGTATCTTGTGCATCTCGATGAGTTCTTACGAATTCCGTTTGAGTATTTCCGATCCGACTATTGGCTTTGGAGACACGACGGGGGCCCTTTGCCAGATAGCGATCGGTGCCGCGCCGCGGCCCTCATCAGCTCACTGGTGCTAGCAGTGAACAGCCCGGAACCGCCCAAGCCTGATATTACCATGGCCTAGCCGCCGCGCTGCTACCAAAAGCCCAACAGCTCACTCCAGTGCAAGTCATCACACCCGCCGCGACAACCACAGCCACCACCAGTGGCAGATCCAGGGGGGGGGGGCAAAATGGGCATTTGCCCCTCCCAAACGGCATAATTTTAACATTACGCCTAAGGACGAGGCATGGAAAGAATCGATAAATTGTTATGGTTTGCCCCCCCCCCCAAAAAAAAACTCTGAGCTGGATCCGCCACTGGCCAACACCACAACCCCGCGGACCCTCCAGCTAATGGTGGTGACGGGGATCGACTACAGTTGCAGAAATGCTCCCAACATCATCAATTGTGCCGATAATCTCTTTCGTAATGAAAATAAGTCGTGTGAAAAATAGACTGGAAGGCGCCCCACGCGATAATAGCCGTTTTCACGACGGCCATCTGGTACACATTTGAAGCACATCTGGTACAGATTAGGTGCATATTTGGTCAAATCAGTTTCAGTGTGTCTTTTAGCAGCGATCAGCTAGGGTTGCACTAATTGCTTATATGCCTGCTTTGTCATATTATCAGAGAGTGTCATCGATTAAAACACTGAAATAAATTCATAAAATGAAGATATTTGCTGTAAAAGAAATTAGGTGCAGATTTGGTCAAATCAGGTGCATTCGCCGGTTAGCTCGTCGTGAAAACGGCAATAACATCCAAAGCTTATCCAAGAAGTTGGGTAGGACAACGAGATGTGCGTGAGCTTTTCGAGAAATGTGAAGCTGAAGGACCATGGATCACGCCGCCTTCAAAAGTAATTGATTCAGCTCGAAAGTGCTATCGGTGTATTTAAGAGCATCGGTTATGGATATTTACCCGTTTTCCTATTTATTTTTTTTTAAAGGAAAAATACTTAATTACCTCGTATTACCTCACACCTCAAATTAGGCACCCACGCCTCACCTACCCATTACATTTGGTGCTTCTAAACCGGAGCCGTAGGAATCAATCGTCAGAAGCTGTAGCAGCGTCCTCCTTGGCCTTGGTCCTCCTCCTGGCCAGCCAGGTTACAAAACAGACCTGGCAGGGCGGCGGGGGCTTATCCACTTGAACTGATGGACAGTTGAGCATGCATAATGCCTATGAGGCGCTATAGAACACTTGCACCCGTGGAAAGATGAGGCATGATAAACAGGTGCTATATCACTTTCACGCAGATAAGAAGCAAGCAGGGAGTTACCGTGCCCTATCTGGGTCCAGTAGCGGCGGAACACCTTCAATTAAGGGGGGGGGGGGGCACTGCCGACTTTTGATCCCATTCTTTCCATGCAACACCCATAGGGCTAATGTTAAAATGCCAAAATCAAAGGGGGGCACGGTGCCCCGGTGCCC